TTGTGGGCTAATTTTCATTTTTGGGTGAACTAACCCTTTAAATGCATGTTTGCAGCCAGTGAAAAATGCATTTCCCGTATTCTGCTGAGAAAAGATGACAGTGTTTGTATCATTACAGCTCTTCTATGCATGTGTGTGTGTGTGTGTGTGTGTGTGTGTGTGTGTCACCCCAGTAAACACAGTCGCTCTGTAGACATGTGTCATCGCGTCAGGGCCTGCGGCGCTTTCTGGATTCAGATGCCACACTGTGTCATTTTAATATCATATCAGACACATCAAAGGAAACAAGCAGGTGGAGTTGTTAAACACCATGAGTGCATGTTTAGACCATTATACTGACATTCCCAATATGACCGTGCTGCAGATATTTAAATGGACCATCAACCAACCTCAACGGCACTCAAACAGACACATTTGTTGTATGTGCCACGGGCTACATGCATGTTCATAGTTAGAGCTCGTCTGACTGCTGGTTGAAATGACTTTGCCATATGATTCCCTTATGAAATATGACATATCTTTTGTTTAAAGCAGTGGTGTCCAATCTGTAGGGTTGAAGCTGAACTCTGCGAGGAGCTGAATTGGCCACACATGGTTTAAAGTCAACATGAAAAACACTCTATTACTTCTATTTAGTCATGATTCAGTGTTTTCCACAGGATTTTGTGAAACTGTGGGGTGGACCTTGGTACATTTTAAAGTTAAATGCATCAACCTGGTGCACTTTCAATATGAAGAGCTCCAACCCATTTTTGGTGTCCAAATTTAACAGAATAAAAAGTATTTGCATTAACTTGTACTGGACTTAAGTAAACTATTACTGTAAATATTACTGTACAGTAGGACAATTATAATACTTATGGCTTAATTTCTTCACTTGCAAGAGTTAAACGCTCAAGGTTTTATTTTGACAGAAAACTGTGACAGATGACATACTTATTTAATTAAATCACAGCCTTTTGCAATTTGATAAGCCATCTTGAGATTTAGATTTTAATTTGATATATGTTATGCTAGTTTTTTATGTTATTATGAGAAGTGTAATTTGGATGTACTGTGGATAGCAAATGAATGATAAACCCTGCCATTAATCAGTGCATGTCATTCATTCATTCATTAATTCATTCATTAATAAATAAATAAATACTACAGAATTTTTAATACAAGGTAATAACTTGCTCAGCCTATGAAACTTTTTTTTTTTTTTGACTGATGTTTCCCAAGCCACACATACTATTAGTTAAAGTTATTAATGTTAACTAAAAGTCAAACGGCTCTTTAGTCATTGTTTAAGGTTACTGTTGTAGGTCAGGCAGCCTTTCTAATCTCTAGTTGGAAATCATATTTCACTTCAAAATTTGACACATAGCGTTAATAAAATGGCTTTGCATGATGCCTTTAAAAGACATTGAAATATTTGAAAGATATAAGATGGACTGTGTGCACCGAACTCTGAAGGCTCTCTACAGAATAGTATTAACACGATGTTTATGGTTAAAATCAATCCTTGTCCGTAAAAGTCAATACTTTTCACCATCACTCTTAACAGGTTTCATCCACAATAGATTCCAAGTATCAATATGTGGTTTATGTGGATATGCATTTGCCCTCCGCCGTACAAGCACCTGTCTTTCTCTCTTTCTCACCTTAGATGAGTTTAAGTCGTTTCTGAAACGTCTGCCCGCGACACACTTTCTGCCGGTGAGCAGCGTGCACCTGCTGTGGGGCAGCGACTGGGACCTTCAGAACCGCTATCGGCTCTTGCAGAGTTCACTGGAGGCCCAGAGACTGAAGATCCAGCGCACGGCCCGGAAACTCTTCGGTCTGAGCATTCGCTGCCACCACAACCCAAACCACCAGATGCCCAGAGAGAGGTGAGACCTAAAGTTCACTTGCAGAATAATACAGCAGGAAAATAGGATCGTATTCCAAGAACTGACCTCAATAGATCTCAACAGAACACTGTTTTTTTTTTTTTTAAGTCTGAAGAACATTTTAAAAATCTAACATACAAAACAAAGAAACTTTTTGTGGACTCGAAAGATTCCATGGATGTTAAAGTTTCAACATGGAACCATCAATGCCAATAAAGACGATTTATTTTTAAGAGTTATCTGTTCACTGTCAGCACCTTTGGTTCTGGAAGTATTTTCCTAATCATTTTCTCAATACACTCTAAAAAAATGCTGGGTTAAATATAACTCAGCATGGGTTTATCCCTTTTTAACAATATTTAACCCAGCATTTTTTTGAGTTTAGAGAATTGAAAAGATTCATGAAATAAACAAACTCTCAGATGAATCACAACATTCCAACATTTGGTTCTTAGCTGAAACATATTTGAGACGTATTCTTAAAAGAACCATTTTTTTTCTTACATTTAAAAAATATCATTTTTTTATCTATCTTACCAGAAAACACCACTGCTGTATTATTATTATCATTATTATTATTATTATTATTATTATTATTTGACTGTACACTACAGCCCTAACATTATGAAGATATCTAGCTAATGAGCTAACATTATCTAATAGAGATTCTCAAAATGTTTATTTCAGTGATTTACAGAACCTCAACATTAGATTACTTACCAAAATAACATGTAAGTTCTGGCAAAATAACTTACTATTTTTTTGCTTCAATCTATTTAAAAATACAATATACAAACAGAAGAATGACCCAAGAGCGCTATCTTTTAACAATTGATTGTGTAGATCTAGTAAGTAGCTAGCCTCCGCTGGTCTGTGAAAACATATAACCCATTTCACATGTGAGTGATTTCTCTAAATGCTCAATGTTTCTTCAGGACGGCATGCAGTGTAGTACTTCACTGGGAATTTGACTATTAAACAGTTTGATTAAAATGAAGTTATAAATAATTCTGAAATGTCCAGAAAAAAATAATAAAATAAAATACTGGCAATTTTTTGCCAGGACATAGTTTTTTTTCTTCTTCTTCTTCTTTCAGTGTTCTGTGCAGATACGTTTTGTTTCATAATTGATTAATTTTACAACAACAGCACTCCTATTTTCCATTTTATTAATGTAAAGCTACTTTGAAACAATCAATATTGTATAAAGCGCTATAGAAATAATCATGGCTTGACTTAATAGTCAAAAGTCATGAGATGAGCCTGTGATAAATAAAATAAGAATCTTTCTGACTGGACCGAAATGAAAGAGTGCAGTGGTCAATTAAAAAGTGTCAAAAGCACTGCCTGAAACATATAGACAAATAAAGTTATCTGTCCACTAGGAAACTTGACTTATCAAACAGAGAATAATATGCACACTCAGGAAATGTAAATAATTCTAACTCTAAAATAAATGACCAAAAAAAAAAAACTGTTTATACAAAGTAGGAGAGCATCAACTGTCACTAATGTGGAAGTGGCTCACCCACGCTCCAGTGGCGGCTTTGACAAGGTCTGTGCTGAAGCGTTATCAAAGCTGAGCAGAGCAGAGTCAGAGCTCTGTGGGGCTCACATCAAGGATGTTTAATGGCAATAGCACAGAGAGAGAGAGAGAGAGAGAGAGAGGAATACAGAACGGAACTGACTATTTTAATTCCAGGTAAGCGCAGGGAATGTTATCGGTTCAGCGTTGTGAAAAGTTGCCTGTGATTTTCAGGGCTAATTCGCTAAACACTGGACTTCAAAGTAGAGTGTTGTTCTGCTGAGGGTGAGAGAGTCTGTTTCTGTTTATGTGCAACATACTAGATTCATACTTCAAAGTCAGAGCAGCTAGTTTAGCTAACTGATAACAGTGCACAAAATTAGCATCCCATTTGAATAAACTAAGCAGCAGGGGTAACGATTCGCCATGGTAAACAATCTCTGGGGGAAAGCATAGAGTTCAAACACAGTCCCCATGGTTAAACACCTCATCTTCAGTTAACACTTCGGATAGAAACATACTTGTGCAATTCAACTGAACCTGCTTAATGCATGCACTATTATGGTAGTATCAAATATCAGTGCTCAAGTATTATTAAGGCCCTAATAATACTTGGATTAACTGGTGTCTGTCTTCATTTCAGCAAAAATGTGATCATTTTAAAGGGGGGTGATTATTTTCTATTCCCACTGTACATATATATTGATTTACTTTTTTATTTTTTCTTGTTATTTTTTTATTCCATTATTAATTATTATTATTATTATTATTATTATTATTATTTCTGGATTCTGTTTTAATGGTTGCATTAGATTTTAGTAATCAAAAAGCATGTATGTTAATTGAAATCATGAAACCTATACAATATACAGTTTATTAAAAGTTTAACATAAACAGTTTTTTTATGACACACACACACACATTGAGGCCATATTGAGGCTAGCCCAGGTAAGACGCCTCTGATGTCTGTGGTTTAGGAGTGGCTTAACAAGAGGAATACGACAACTGTAGCCAAATTCCTTGACACGCATCTTGTTAAGCATGTCAAAAGTTTGCATCTGTAACTGTAGGCTGAAAACTTGTTGGGAAGGTTGTTTCTGTTATTGCTGCCAACCGTCGGCTTTCTGAAAGACACGTCATTATATTCCACACAACTGTATGACAACCCAAGAAACATATGCATTCAAAATATGAAACCTGTGACGGGTTCTGAAGATAGACAATATCGATGCACTACATATATCAAGAATTAGAGGCATTTGAATGTATTATACAGATATAAACCCCCCAAAAATGTCTTACAATAACCATAATGTACAGTTCTTCCATCAAGGAATATCATTAGCATAGCTTGCCGTCATGATATAGAATTCATCTGATGAATGCTACTCATCCAATCAGATTTTAGAGCTGAAAGTGTTTGTTTTATAAGTGTCTGAGCTCAGATCAGCCCTAAATAATGGCAATGTTGTTGTCTTAGCTGTGCTGTCACTTAGGAGGTCTGTTCTGTCTCCACTGACCTGCTCTTTGGCCTGAAGGCCCTGATGAAGAAAGATGGCTACTCGCTTGAGGAAGAGTTTCCTGCTGACACCAAGCGGCTTCCCGTTGCTCATTATTAGCAGCAAACTGCCTCCATCCGCCCCATAGACTCCAGAGATAGAAGTTAACTAACTCCATTCTGCAGACACGCTGCTTCCAGTTTGATGGCACACCAATTATCTAGAGGAAGAAAACTTCATTTGGCTCCAAACTTTGGTTACTTGTGATTACTGCCAAGTTTCCCTCGGAAGCTCCTACTTTTAGGAGTTTGGAAGTCATAATTGTGAGACTTCATGTGCATTTAAGTGACCGGTTTCTCTCTTTTTTTGTCGTGTTTTTTGTCAAACGCAAGCTTTGTTTTGTGATGCTGCATAAAAATGAAGAGCAGATGATGTTTGCTTTGTTTAAAATTGATCTGGTTATGTCATTCTCATGCAACCTAAAAGAAACCTCATGCAAGCTTGTCACCTCAAAATTCAGAGTACCTGGTATTTTCTGGTCAGCTCTGTCACTTTTTATTGTTTATCAACAATACAGAAAAATAAATAACTGAACACATTAAATTGCACATGCTTTTTTGTAACTTTTGCATAGACAAAACACAAAAAGGGCTAAAATAAACTGCACATTTTCCCACAGGTGAAATGGTTTGAGAGCGGTAAGTAGATTACGCTGCTGTTTCTATATTAAGGGCAAATCCATATATATACCATGAGAGTGAGATATTCCCTCTCGTCCGTTCTTGATGCAATAGTGCCGACGCACAAGGTCTGTCCATAGACCCGGGCAGAGGATCCAGAGCTCAGCTTTAACCTCGACTTTGCTCAGTTATTGGCCTTTTGCAAATTGTGCAGTTTCTACTTTTAGGGAAGCATCTCAAAGTCAGCTGCTGTTTATTCCTGGCTGAGAAAAAAGCTGATGGAAGTTTTACATGAATATTTTGCCTTTATTGTTTCTTCTCCCTGAGTAGATTCCAAGATCAAGTAACCTTAAAAATGTCCTGCTGGCTAAAATTCCTAATAAGAGATCTTTCAAGGCCGTTTCCACACTTGGTTTGATTGCTTGTTCGATATCCAGCCTCCTTGTGCTCCCATACGCCTCTTCCCATACAGTCTGAAACAGTGTGTTTGCGTTATCAATGACAGTACTAGCATCAGCTATTTACCTCTGTAATAACTCTGAAAGGATGATGCCTCTTTCACTCTGTCATTAAACTATTTCTCCATTTGGGTTTACCACCAAATCTTTAAACTCACAGAACAGCACTCGTCTTTTTGGATGCATCATGAGGCAAAAACAATGTTAGCTTTGCTTCGAAGGCAATTTTGGCTATTTCGAGCCAAGCAGCTATGAGCGATATACTACTGTATAAAAGTGTCATCAGGAGAATTAAAATGTGCAAATTTTATACATTACATGTTAATCATGGCGACTTGCTTTCATACCAACTGCAGACCTTACTAGAGTTCACATGAACCAGCGCTTGACGTTTACTTTTTCCCAAGCAGCGCATGTGCTTTTAATTCGAAAAATATAAGAGAGCACAAAAGAACTTTAGGGGTGCATTGAAAACTGATCGAATAATTTGTTTTCCTTAATAAAGGGACATGAGATTATATTTACAAGTGACATGATTTAATTTATTATTGTAAGGACCAATTCTCACTATTAACTAGCATGCATATTACTAGCATATTGGCTGTTTATTAGTACTTCTAAAGCACATATTAATGCCTTATTCTGCACTACTACTTACTACACTCTTAAAAATAAAGGTGCTTCACGATGCCATAGAAGAACCTTTTTGTCTAAATGGTTCCATAAAGAACCTTCACCATCTGAAGAATCTTTCTGTTTCACAAAAGGTTCTATGTGGCGAAAGAAGGTTCTTCAGATTACAAAAAGGTAAGAAAGAGATGGTTCTTTAAAGAACCTTTGACTGAATGGTTCTTTGTGGAACCAAAAATGGTTCTTCTATGGCATCGCTTGAAGAACCTTTTGAAGCACCTTTATTTTTAAGAGTGTACTTACTGTCTATGCTTTACTTCCAGCTGCTCAATCAAACAGATTAGGGAGATAAAATATGCACTCTTACAACCATCTAAAACATATTACAATATCAACAACTTAAAGTTAGGGTAGGTGATTTCGGAGAGGCTAGCAATAGCAAGCTAGCTTTGAAAGCATAAGATCCCACCCTCCCTGCAAATCACTATCCAAAGCCACGCCTCCAAAACACATGACCACGCCCTGTGAACCCCAAATTACACACACATTGCATTTATACAAATTGGACGAACTGAGCTTTGATGGCAAACAGACTTGGGTCCAAAGACACCAAATGCTCTTGTGTGAAACATAAGCATGAATCACATATGTATGCAGATGTAAACATCTTTTTGATGCTGATAAATTGCTCTGACCAGAGCAAAAGCACAGCTGCCGCTGCCTTGACAGATAGAGCCACGCCTCAGGGATTTCTCTGCCATTTGATTACTAGATGCATCGCAAAAGCCAGTGTGATATTCAATCAAATCAAACGATGCAATTAAATGAATAACCAAACCACGCTGGCCATTTCTGTTTATGCAAAGCCCCAAAATTACGCTTACTGGCTGCTTGTAATTAATAGATGTTTGTTGTTTGTGCTGAGCTCTACCTGATAAACCGTAGCTGTGATGATGTGCATTCGGAGGACAGAAAACGACCCCGATTTACACCCACACAGAGCACAGACAGCAGAGTTACTTATGTGCTTTTAACATTTGTGTTTGTACATATGCTTTGTATAAATATAAATATTGTACGTGCCTAGCTGTGAAAGAGAGAGTCTTACCTAACTGGTGTTATGTGCATATTTTTAATGCATTTTTTTGTCATCTTAGTGGCCGTTTTCTGCAGAAACAAACAATGTTGTAGAAATAACCAGACTTTAACATTTTCTAAAGATGTTTGCTATGCAAAACTAACCACTACAATATTAGGGAGCTTTTGGTTGAGATTGGTACCAGTGTTATTTTAGTATCATTAAGATACCGTATTACTGTATTAGTTTGCATTTTAATTTTAGTTACAAAAAATTAAATTATAAATGTTGCTGTATCAAATGTGGCAACTAGCTGAAATAATATGTATATACATTTTTATAAAAATGTATAAAATCTTTTTTTATTGTTATGTTAAATGTTCATCATATCTATTCATTTATCATTATCTATTATAATAAATGTGCATATTTATGTATGTATTTTGTTGTCTTAGGCATTTTAAAGCAGCTGTTTTTTAAAAGTTTATCATATTTATTACAGTCCATCATCATTTATTATAATGTTTTTTATGGCTTTTGTTAACTATAATAACCCTGCTTGGTACAGAGGTGCCTCCAAGTTCTCCAACTAAGAGAACTTTTTTTTCTCTGTCTCTCTCTCTCTCCTGATTATGGAGTCTAGTGACAGAGAGAGCTGAAACACTCACTGTATTCCGGTGATATCTGACAGGTTGCAGTATCACTTGCAGCATCTTTAATTTAATAAAAGAAATGAACCCTATATACAGGCCTCCCCCCCACTCAGAATGACTTACATCTACAGTCTGCTCTCTCTCCTCTCCTCCATTATCCATTTGAAGAGAAATTGCGGTGATGTACGTCATGCAGTCTGTGCAGCAGAGCGCTCTGATGCCCCATTACAAACATGATGTGAAAACAAATAGCATTCTTCCTCGTCATCTCCATCTCATCCCCCACGGCAAACTCAAGTCAGCCACTTGTTTCAGAAAAACAAATAATTGTGTAAAATAAAACCAGCAAGCCACTCTGAAATCCATATTGGGAAACGCAGTTAGAGAATATAACATATGGGAGTCAGACTGCATAAAGCTTGCTTATTGTGAATGAATATTAAAAAATACAATATCAAATGTCACAAATGAGTCAACTGCGTATGGCTTCAAATCAAATGAGACTAGTCTTAAGCTCTTTATTGGTCAAGTAATCAGGAGTGAACTGAAAATCTAATAATGTTTGAATACCATGTGCAGTTATATTAAGAGAGATGCTAATAAGTTTACAGTTTAATTTCACTACTGATAGTCTATGGAAATTGCATATAGTTCACAATAAGTGACTAATGAAGGCTTTCAATTTCCATTGCACATTATGTTTCAGAAATGTTTGTATTTCAAATAGGAAAACTTTTATATGATTAGTTAGTGTTTAATGAATCACACTTCCACTGGGTCGCATAGGATTTGTGGTTTGTACAGTGATATGTTCATTATTATTATTAATATTATTTAAATATTGGTTAGAGAAAACAAAATATTATATTCATCATCATATTATTTTTATCAACACTTTTATGCAAAGAAACTTACAAAAGAGGAAAGAGGTTTATTAAATGTTTCCTTTATTCACTGTAATGCTTAATTATGCCTGTTAAATGCATTCCTCAAGCATCTGTTACTTTCACTGTTCATTTTATCATTTTGTGTATTTTATCAAATTTTTTGACACTATGGTATAAGAAGACAATTTGAACTGAGCGGAGCTGAATAATGCCATTTTGCAACATTGGCACTAGCTGTTTTAAAGTTGCAAATTTAACTTTTTTTTAATAATTTTTTTTATTTTTTTATATTGTGTCGTTTTTTTACATGATATCCCAAATTCACACAAAATATGTGAATGGAAACATAGCCAATGTTACGAACTGAAATGACTCAACATTGAGCTAACTTAAGCTGAATAATGGCACTTTTGTCTTGTGTAGAGCTGCTTATAGCTCAATTGAACTTGTTTCATAATTGATTCACTTTGTAACATCAACACTGCTACTGAACTACACTGAGCTGAATAACACTATTGTCTTCTATAGAGATGCTTCATAGCTGAAATTTTATTCATTTTTATTAGTTTTACAGCAGTAACACTCATATTTTCTTGTGCATTACTGTGAAGTTGCTTTGAAAATATCTGTATTATATAAAGTGCTATAAAAAATAAATGTGACTTCTGGCCCGATACCGATTTCAGTATCAGTATCTGTGCATTACTAATAAAAATTAACTTTTAAACAAATAATTTACATCCATAAAGTTCCTATGGTACATGATAAAGCAACACTGCAAATGATCCTCTGTTGATAATCACACACCGGCCAAACAAATGCCAGTATTGCATAGCATCGTTTATCCTCCACAAACTGGTTGCAAGGAGAATTCCTTGTTTCAAGTCAAAGAACTGCACAGCTAACTGCAGCATTGCCTTTTTGTGTTTCTAGCATCAAATGAAAGTCAGGAATATCAAGAATATCTCACATCTGACTCTGTTACACTCTGGGTTCATTAGCATGTCATCATAACCTTTAGCACTTTGTCTACCAGAAATCAAAATTCAGGTGTTCAGTTCTCCCCTCATGCAGCAGAGAAGCTCCAAAGGCTTTCAGAATGACAAGGCAAAATGCCTACGGGGAGAGAAAAGACAAGGTGTGCATTGGGAAAATTTGACAGAATACATTATCCATTTTAGTGATTAGACTGTAACAAACATCAGGAGGCTGAGGCGCTAGCTTTGTGCCTTTGGACTTAACGCTGAATTATTAATGGATCCTTCTACTCACCTGCTTTGACTGCACTGTTTTCTGTCTGCTTTCAGATCGGTGCTACAGTGGCTGAACCGTGTGCAGTCGTTCCTCTACTGCAACGAGAACGGCTTCTGGGGAGCCTTCCTGGAGAGCCAGCGCATGTGCGTGTGCCACACGGGGGCCACCCTTTGCCAGCGGCCCATCCCTTGCGTGATCGGCGGCAACAACAGTTGTGCCATGTGCAGCCTGGCCAACATCTCGCAATGCGGCTCCTGCAACAAGGGCTACAAGCTGTACCGCGGACGCTGCGAGCCGCAGAACGTGGACTCGGAGCGCAGCGAGCAGTTCATCAGCTTCGAGACAGACCTGGACTTCCAGGACCTAGAGCTCAAGTACCTGTTGCAGAAGATGGACTCACGGCTGCACATCCACACGACCTTCATCAGCAATGAGGTGCGCCTGGAGACCTTCTTCGACCCACGGTGGCGCAAGCGGATGTCGCTGACGCTCAAGAGCAACAAGAACCGCATGGACTACCTGCACATGATCGTAGGCCTGTCCATGAAGATCTGCCAGATGCGCAACAGCAGTGTGGACCCCATGTTCTTCATTTATGTGAACCCGTTCAGCGGAAGCCACTCGGAGGGTTGGAGCATGCCGTTCGGCGAGCACGGATACCCGCGCTGGGAGAAGGTGCGACTGCAGAACTCGCAGTGCTTTAACTGGACCCTGCTGTTGGGAAACCGCTGGAAGACCTTCTTCGAGACTGTGCACATCTACCTGCGAAGCCGCGCTAAGGTGCCCACCGTCCTGCGGAACGACACGGGCCAGGGCCCAGTGGACTTATCCGATCCCAACAAGCGGCAGATCTACATCAAGATCTCCGATATCCAAGTGTTCGGCTACAGCCTGCGATTCAATGCTGACCTGCTGAGGAGCGCCGTGCAGCAGGTCAATCAGTCGTACACGCAGGGGACCCAGTTCTACTCGTCCTCGTCCATCATGCTCCTGCTGCTGGACATACGGGAGAGAATTAACCGTTTGGCCCCTCCAGTGGCCCCTGGGAAGCCCCAGCTGGACCTGTTCTCCTGTATGCTGAAACATCGACTCAAGCTCAACAACAGCGAGATGATTCGCGTGAATCATGCCTTGGACATGTACAACACAGAAATCTTGAAACAATCAGACCAGCTGACTACCAAACTCTGCTGAAAACACAATTAGAACGAATAAAACAAAAAAAGAGAGAATACTTTGTATTTTCTTTCTCTGTTTGATTTGGAATCTTTTGGTTTGCTTTTTTGATGTAATAACAACTTTGTAAGTGTAATTGTTAAACAGAAACTAAAAATACAGAGATAAATCATTTTAGTTCACTAAAGGAAACAAAGAAAAAAAATGACTGTATCATATTTGTCCTAGCATGTCTGTCATTTCATAAACTGAAAAAAATATGAGAAAAGATCACTATTATACTTATTAAATTCAACATCCAGTGACACAGAGGCCTTGATTTTACTTTGAGGGAACAAAGGTACATCTTAAACTGCCATTCTTTACTGGTTAACACATTTTTAGAGATGTATAAGGGCAGAACCAAAATACAGTAATTAATTTCAGACACTACCATGTTGTTATCATGCATCTTTTAGATGAGGTTTATACAGCGTAAGGATTCATTAACTGTACAGCGTCTTGTCCTTTCATATGACACCCCTCTAAGAGAGCTTGGCAGTGAGTTCAGGACGGACGTCCACCGTTTCTTGCTGGACGTCCAGTTTTCTCGATTGCCGTTTATTGCCGCTCGACAGGTGAACTGAATCCTGCGTGGGCTTCCTCTGTTGTATTTTCAGATTCGCGCTCTTGTTCTTCAGCGAGGTCGAGTCGCTTCGGTGCCTGAGTGCAGTATCTATGGTTGAACATAATCAATTCATGCTATTTCGTACTGCTTCGCATAATGTACACGTTGTGATTGCTGATGTGTCATGCTTTTTTGCAGCACCGTGAACAAAATTGGATAATTTCTCATTTATTTAATGGTCAGCATAAAGCCATACATTTCTCAGAGGGATGAAAAAAAAAAGAAGCTGTGCACATTTTGTGAGAAATGTCCTATAAATTGCTTTTGTATTTTTGTTTTTCAGTCTTTTTCTAATGAAATATAGCACAGTGGTCTGAAAAAAAAGAGAAAATTATATATATGTACTGCGGGATTATGGCATGACATTGTAAAGCCATTGCATTTTCATTAACAAGAGTGAATCCACAAGAACAGTATATTAAAGCTTCAAATATCTATGATGGTTTTAATCTCAAAATCTGCTTGTATACCAAATGTACACTTTACTTTTTATAAGATTTCATTTGGGTTTTATATTCCTTGATGCAATTCAGGTTTAACTTTTTGACATGTCGACAGATTAATCTCTCTACTCTAAAACCTTAGCTGGGATGGGGGAATTTTTTTTTTTTAGTTGTATTATTTTTGTGCAAAAGAACCTTCACTTGAGTTATTTCTAGAATAGGGAGAATGCCATTATTATTAGCATTAATTATTATTATTGCCATTATTATCCAATCTTATTAAGTGCCTGTTAGCTATCCCTTTAATGCTTTTCCTTCATATTTTTTTCTTTTTTTCTTTCTTTCTTTTTTTTTTGTTTTTTTAACAGGAAGTTTAACTAAATCTAAACACATGCCACTTGACTCATGGGAACAGGGCCAAAATCTTTCTTGCTGTACTCTGCATGAATTGAAAATAACCTCTTGAGAGTGAGATGATACTTAACTTGTTTAATGAATTAGAGTTAAATGTGTATTATAAGTGTAAATACCTATTTTGTCTTGATATAGCCATGGAATCAAAAGCTTTTCTTAGATTACAGCAAATGAACCGCAGCCCATTAAACGCGACACAAACCCCCCTCGAGCACAAGTTCTGTAAATATGACAGGTTTCCCACAAAATCATTTGCCCTCATCTGGAGAAATGTCACCAGCTGAAATGGATCTTGTCCAAGCTAAATCTGTTAATGATCTACACGAGCACATGCTTACAGCCTTCCATACACTCCTGTTACAGAAACCATGTATGACACACTATCCCATTCAGTGGGTTGAGAAACTGCTTTCAAGTACTTTATGTAATTTCTGCTGTTCTGTTGAAATAACTATATCGGCTTTCTTCAAAATGAATGTTTCAAATAATAATCTATTTCTCATTAAAATGCTATATTTAATAAGAAGACCAATGCTTGTTTGTACCACACAAAGTCAGCAGCAATCAGAATCAGATCAGAATCAGAACTTTATCAGAAAGAGCTTTATTGCCAAGTATGTAAAACTGATCGTGTTTGAGAAACAAAAAACAGGAAAAACTAACAAAAACAATACGAACACTGGAGAGCCAAACACTGAGGCTGCCGTCTGCGGCACCATCGCTGTAAGTCTGTCACTCAGCAATCAAGGGGGATATGGTTTCACACCTATTCAGTCCCAGTATTTTCTAATCTCAGTTTGTTTGGTGTAAGAGTGGCCACTGAGGCTACGTCCACACGAAGCCAGAGCTTTCCCTATCCGATCTTTTTATCGTAATTGTTGTTTTAACAATGTGCGATTTGACATTATCGAGTATTTTGCAAAAAACTTTCAAAACACCACTACAAAGTGCATGCATACATTACGTGAAGTCTAGACTAGTGTGTGTGCGCATTTAGAGTGCATTCTTTCACTAGATGATTCAGGCTACGTCCACAAGCTTCGCCAGAGCTTTCCCTATCCGATCTTTTTTTTTCCCTCGTCTCAGGAAATATCTGCGTCCACACGAAACCGACACAAAACGATGTAGTATACATGCCAGACCAGCATGTGGCGCTGTAATTCTGCCACAGAGATACACTAAAAACAGAGAAGAAGACTTGGACTCTGCGCATAAACCTTGCGCGCGGTATACAAACGAACAATACGTTTATTAGTCTGTGTTAATGTTAGTTAATAAAAAGACAATCGTTCAGTGTTTGTTCATGTTTTTGTTGCTGTTATGTGATGTAGCAGTGTCTGACTAGGGTCGAGACGTGGGCTGATGATGTCATCGTTTCAGAAAATATACGGATTCGCTGTCCACACGA